CTAGTCCCGACACGGCCCCGCCGCGGACCGGTCTCTGGGTCCCTCCAGTCCCCTGCCTCGGTTTCCCTTCCTCCCCAGGTGCCCCTCACACCCCAGCCCCGATCCCTCCGCTGGCAGGGCCACTTCTCAGCCTTTCTCCACCCGCCCCATTGCTGCCCAAGCCACCTGGCTCGGTCCCCACCTGGCTCTGGCCCCTTCCAGGGGTGGCCGCGCCCGAGAACGCCCTCTCTGCTACAGACCGTGATACCGTCTCCGCTTCCGTGCAGGCTCTGGAGATCTCGATCTTCTCCCCCTCCACATGCAAACCCTGTGTGAGAGCAGTGACCACCTCCCTATCCTGTGTCCTGGCCCCTCACCCTCGGGCGCATGTTCTCTCCCCCCACCCAGTCCTCAACCTCAGCCCACACGTGCACGGGCTCCAGCCCCTTCCCTCACCCTCCCCTTCCAGGCCTGTCCAGCCACCCACCTTTTCCCCACATGGTCTTAGGCCAGCCCTGACACTTCCCCAGCAGTGCTGCAACTGAGCCATCAGAAGTGATCCATTCTCTTTGCCTAACCCCCTGGGAACTGAGAGGAAGTCACTTGCCTCAGTGGCAGGAACGAATCTGCTTTCGAGGATCTGGGACTAAAGCCCTGGAGGTGTGAACTCCAGTCATCAGTTCCTGTGTGCCCTGACTGGGTCCTGGGGAAATAGGGCCCCCTGGGATGGCTTCTCTCCCAGGTGCAGTCTGGGGCATGCAGACAGTGCTCCAGGCTGTGAGGTGTGGCTAGAATTTAGGCAGGTAGAGAGAATTAGACCAGACGGGGTGTGACTCCCAAGTGGAAGGAGATCAAGTGCCTAGCCAGTCCCTCCATTAACCCACTGTGCTAACGACACGTTTATTCTCTCAAGGTCTGTGTCCCGTGCCTGCAGCTGGAATGGAGGCTCTCTGGACCCTCTAGAAGGTTGGTTATATTGGAGTTGGGCAGCCAGGAAGGCTGGGGTGCGGGCTGGTGGGATTCATTTGCCTGCTCTGGAGTAGAGATTGGCAGGAAATGTTTTTTTATTGCCTTGGGGTCCCTGCCCTCAGAGATGGTTGGCTCGGACTCAGTGTAGTGGCTGCAGCTTTTTATTTCTATCCAGCGTCCCCCACCTGCTGCCCCTGGTAAGAACCTTGGCAAGGCTACTGGGGAAAAGTGGAGAGTGCTGATTCCAGCTGGATTTGGCAGAGGTGTGCATGCATCCCTCAACACACACACCTCCCTAACACATGGACTGGCACTCAGTCAGTGAAGAGTTCTGGCTCTGAAAGGGACTTTAGTTCAGTTCTTTCCTTGGTGTGATTTTAAATAACTTGTTTAGTTGACAGTATTAGATGTCATTTAGTTTGTGCCATGTCAGGTGTCATATTATAAAAGCTCTACATGTGCAATCTCATTTAATCGCCACAATAGCCCCAGGCATAGGTACTATAGTACCATTTTATAGCTGGGAAAATAGAGGCACGGGAAGGTTAAGTGGCTTTCCCAAGCTCACACAGCCCAGAAGTGGTGGAGCTGGGATTTGAACCCATGTCTCTAGCATCTGAGCACAAACTTCTCACCACTGGACTGAGAGTGAAGCCAGTACGTCTTCATGGTGACGATTTGCTTCACCTCTTCTGTTATGATCTCTGCCCTTGTGCCCAGGCTCTTTTTTCTCTTTCTTTATACATCTGGGCACCTGCCCATCATGGGGCCTGGCTTATCTGAGAACGTGGTTGGGCACTGACAAAATCCAGGGTCCTTTTGACTTTAGACAGCATTCAAGAGAAGACAGTGACTTGTTCATCCAATCAGAATTGTTTATTGAGAGCTTGCTGTGTGCTAGACACAGTTTTGGGCTCGGGATATACGGGGACAGGATGGATGAAATCCAGGGTCCTTTTGACTTTAGACAGCATTCAAGAGAAGACAGTGACTTGTTCATCCAATCAGAATTGTTTGTTGAGAGCTTGCTGTGTGCTAGACACAGTTTTGGGCTCGGGATATACGGGGACAGGATGGATGTGAGTCCGCCACCGTGGAGCTGACGTTCAGTGAAGAGAGTTTGTTTACCCAGAGCAAGGTCTCTCAGCCTTGGCACTGGGGATGTTTGAGGCTGGGTCATTCTTTGCAGTCTGGGGCTGTCTTGTCCATTGTGGGGTGTTGAGCAGCATCCCAGACCTCCACCAACCACATGCGTTCCCCACCCTCCCAGTCATTAAAACCAAAAGTGTCCTCTGGGGTAAGACCCCCTGGGTTAGGGGATTCCATGGACCCCCAGGAGACTATGTCCCATAGTCATCTTCCCTGCTGATGTCCTAGGAGGCTGCACACATTTAAATCCACACACTGAGTGGGGAGGGAGAGAAGAGATGAGTCCCAGAAGCTGGGGTCACCTTGGTTTGTACCATCTGCCCCACTGGGAGTTTATTCTGGTGTCCAGTGTGAACAGGGATTGAACTCAATTCTTTGTTCCAAATAGGAACACAGGGTCCCTCTGCCTCAGCACTGTGGACATGTGAGGCTGGATCCTTCTCTGTGGTGGGGCCATCCTGGGCACTGTGGGCTGTTGAGCAGTGTCCCTGGCTTCTACTTACTACCCCCGCCCCCCCATGACATCCAAAAGTGTCTGCAGATGTTGCCCAGTGACCCAGGGAAGCAGAATCTCCCCAGTTGAGAACCAAGGGTAGGGAGCACTAGAATTATTTCTCCAGACGTGCTCCCGGGAACTGCAGCCTTGTGGTTTCTCCCCAGGCGCCCCCCACTCCTGAGGTCAGTCAAGTGGTTAATGTGGAAGGTCAAGAAGTTGTGCCTGGACAAGGAGAACTATTGTGATGGGCGCCAGGGGAAGGGGGCTCAAGATAGCAACTTTGGATTGGGTGCTCAGGAAAGACCTCTGAAGAGATGATTTGGGACCCGAAGGATAAGAAGCTGCAAGTCTTCCAGAAAGCAGGGAAGTGGTGTCCCAGGCAGAGGGACTGGCCAGTGCAAAAGCCACAAGCGGGGGGGATGAGCCAGCGTGTTTAGGGAAGAGTAAGGACGCCAGTGTGGTTGGAGGTCATGGTCAAGGGCAGGGAGAGGGCGAGGGCACAATGAGGAATTTGGGAATATTCTGTTTCTAGCCAGTGTCCCTCAGATGGCATCCCTGCAGTCATTTGAAACTCTCAGGGACTTGTTACCTTGAGAGAATCGCCCAGTGAGAAAGATGCTGGTTTCTGGCAAATGCCTGCAACTCTCATGCCTTTCAGGGCAGGGCCTGAAGCCTCCACCTCAGCAGAACACCTTTGGCACTGGGTTGTGCCCCAGAGGCTTGGGGGGCTGTGGGGAGATGTGGTCCTGGGAGCTGCAGCCCTGTGGTCTCTCCCCAGGCACCCCAGACTCCCGAGGTCAGCCAAGCGGTTAATGCGGAAGGTCAAGAAGTTGCGCCTGGACAAGGAGAACACAGGAAGTTGGAGAAGGTAAGGGCAGGCCTCAGGAGTCCTCATTGGTGGGGATGTAGGAAAGTTTCTAGAATTTCCAGCAGAGGCTTAGGTCTAGGTGGCACCGTCTTGCCTTCTCCCCTGCATTTCCCCAATGCTCAGTTCTGGTTCTTTCGTGTGATGAGGCAGCATGGCCTGGTGCAGAGTCTGTCCCCTCGACCCTGTGGTCATCAGGGCCCGACCACTCTCTGGTGGGTCCTTTCTGGGCACTGCAGGTGCTCAGCAGCGTCCCTGACCTCCATCCAGTCTGTGCCAGGAGCACCCCCTCTCCAAATTGTGACAACCACAAATGTCTTTAAACATTGACAAGTATCTGCTGGACGGCAGATTCATCCCCAGGTAAGAACCACTGGCCTGGTGGTAAGGATGTGGGTTTTAGAGTCCAGCAGACTTGGGCTCCGCTCCCTGTCC